TTTTTCCCTTCCCCCTCCTTGGGTTTGTGCGCCGCCCTGAGTCCCGCTGGGAATAGGGCGGCATATAAATAAAATGAACAAAAAACAAACAGAACAGAACAAAAAAATATAGAGAATCTGACTTAACTCTGGTGGATGATTTTAACAGATTCTGTATGCCTATTTTAATCATTTGTATTTTCTGATCAATGATCAATCATTCCGCTGCACCAATTAAATATAAGGGAAGTTATGAAGGATAGAAGCTAGCCCTGACCTCTCTGATTCAGAATGTAATGAGCCCACAATCTCCAGAGCTTTTGGTCTGTTTCAATGACTGAACCTTGGCTCATAAGATATAAAGAAGACAAGAGTGCCATTACTCATAATTGGAGCCGCTTTCCCCTTATTGTTGAGCAACCATAAATTATTCTAACATTGCTTGGGTTAGGGAGGTTGGGATATAAACTGAAACTTCCTTTGCTTTAGAAATTGTAGTACTGGATTTGCCTGTACTCTTAAATAAGGCAGGTTTATTCTTATCACATAAACTGTACTTTCCTTGGATTTATAAAATGGGGTTGTGCATAGCCGATTTCCTATGGTTAGTTGCTATAGAATAAAAATCAGAAAGTATGTTCTATATGCTTCATCTCCAAAGAAGATTAGTAATTCCAAATGTTCCCACTTAAAAAATACCCTAATAGCACCTCTTAAAACTTGGCTAATTCATTTAAATGCTTTTTGTTGAAATAATGCTTGCTCGTGTAGTCAGACTTCAAGCTGCCTTTAGAATTTTTGAATTAGGATTAAGAAGTAACATGTTTTAAATATGTACATGTCATTACACCAATAGGTATTGTTAATAGATACAGTTAAAATTTATTTCCCTTTAAAAGAGACACCTGCTTGTGCATTCTAAAGGGCACATTGTAAACTTGCCACAATTATCTGAGAATAATTAATGCAAACTCTAGGCAGCACCCTCCTTGCTAAACTTTCTTTTTTTATTACCACTTAGTCTAATATGTTGGTTCTTTTTCTCCCTCCAAATAGGGATATAGAATAGAGAAATTCAGTAATGGGGTTAATCTAGGGAGAGATCGAATCCGAGGCAATGATGTACCCTTCATTTTTGCAGTCTGCAGTTTAAATCACCACAGGATAAGGGGTTTAGTAAATAACAAGTCTATGTAATCTACTTTTAAACCATTTGGGGAATCCTGGCCCTAATTATTATTGAATAATTCCACTTCAATCAGAAGTATGTGTGTGTGTGTGTTCTCTTTGGGGTTTCCCAAAGACAAGATCCAGCTAGAAAACCAAAAAGTCTATGAAATACCATGGGAAATCTGCCCTGCCACATACATTGGACAAACTAATAGGAGAATAAATGCATGCATTGCAGAACACAAGAACGCAGAACTTCCTCCCTTTTTCAGCATCTTAAAGCAACAGAAAATGAATTTGATTTTGAAGGAACCAAATTAATCTCCAAAACAGAACACTTCAACAAGAGAATAATTATGGAAGCCATTGAAATAGAGAAAGACCCCCACAACATGAATAAATGTGACAATACGTCCCACCTACCAGACATCTGGAAACCAGTCCTAGTCAACAAACAAACCCCACCTACCACCCAGGTCATTACAACACAAAAGAACAACGGACAGACAGACAGCACCTCAGCCACACAGGATGATATGAAACAGCCGACCAATCTATAAACATCAACTCCATCTACCAATAAGGATGCAACTACACAGCCAATCAACCCCCTTGCACTCCACAAACCCCCACCAAGATTTATAGAAAGATGGCAGCTCCGACCACGCCTTACTCGCACAAGCACGAAGCCGAAAATACCAGCCTGAAGATGGCGAGTGGGACCTCGCCAAAACATTGCCAAGACAATCTCAATGTTACATGGGAAAAGACCCGAATACAACAAGACCCCCATATATATATATCTGTCTGGATGGTCTCTTGTGATGAGCCAATAGACAGAGAAAGGAAGCAGTATGCTTCCATATATATATATATACTATACTATATATATAAAAATTATATATATATAATATATATATATATATATATAATTTTTATATATATAGTATAGTGTCATAACCACTGGTATATATATGAGTTGCAGTCTCTGTTTCAACTGAACTTCCCAAAACAAGTTCCTTCTTCTCTTTCAAAAATGTAAGCTTTTTAAAAATAACCTATTCTCTTCCTTGTATAAACATATTATTACCATACCATTATTATTTTGTTTTTATTTGCAGTGTATTCCTGAGTGTTAGTTGAAATGTAAAATCAGCCACTGTGAGCAATTTACCGTTAAATCTGAGAAAAGAATAAACATTTAAATTACTTCACATTGATTTGGTACCTCTCAATACAATTCATTTACCGTATGTCAATTCAATTCAATTCAAACCTTTATTGTCAGAGTACAACATGTGTACAATGAAATTGGCTGAGCCTTCATTCATGTACACCCCCCGCCCCAACACAATACAATTCACAGTGAAAGACAAAAAATCCCTAGCCCAGTGAATCCTACTAACACATTATGTTAGGTTAGTCTTGTTTTATTATCTATGATAATGGGATGAACGTCCATTTTACATTTCAATATGGAGTGACAATTCTCATTGTGACAATGGAATTAGAATTGGGTCGAATGTTTATGTAAAGAAAGTGAAGGTTAGGAACCTTGTATATTACTTTTGTCATATTCACTTTTGTACATGTACTGATGCCTTATATATTTGCTTGCTTAGGATTATGCTATCATGCACAGAGACAGCTTAAAATGGATGGGTGCCAGTTTAATATATGTCACAGAAATCAAGAGTGGCATGGCAGACTGGAAGTAACATTACACAGCAATAGCAGAAAAACCATATGGATTGGCTGTGGTTGCATGGCTAATCCATCCAGAAAGCAGATTGTATCATCATCTGCATTTCTTTTCCCCAGGGTATTCTGTTTTCAACTCCTGAATGTTTGAAGACTCCTCAGGATTTGGTAAAGCTATATTTACATGAATCCAGTCGTGTTTACCGTGACAAGATGGTTGACGACAAGGACTTGATTGTTTTTGATAAAATGCAAGCAGAGGCAGTGAAGAAGTTCTATGATGTAAGTGCTCAATCACTCACCAAAAACAAAATGACTAATATGCCCATTGCAAAAAAGCAAAGCTTATTAACCTTATAAGGTTCCTCCTCATCATAAAAAAGAAATATTGCACAATTTAGAAACCATTTATATTTTCTAAACTGTTATGGGTGTTATGGGGCTTCCTGCTTCTCTATCAGGAAACTTTGAGGTAAGGTAATCCTTTGAAACATGTCTTCTATGGCTGACAAACAATCATTGCATATCAATGCAAAAGAGAAGTATATGATACGTATTGTCTGCAAGAAGGTTTGGGTGATGGGAAGAGCCTAGGTATTACATTTTATCCATATATCTCTCTAGAGTTGAGATACTGCAATGGCTAATGCTTGATGACATTTTGGTTTGCTGTATCTCTGCTAAACTGGAACACTGTGTTTTACTTTTTCCCTTCTTAGGACATAGAGGAAACCTTGGAACAGACCAAGAAGATGAATATCTACTGCCATTTTGCAAAAGGGGTAGGGGAACCCAAATACATGCCTGTCCAGAATTGGGAATCATTGAGCCAGATTCTTGCGGAAGCTTTGGCGAACCACAATGAAGTTAATGCTGCCATGAACCTGGTGCTGTTTGAAGATGCCATGTGTCACATGTAAGGGGAGTTTTGATTTTCAGATGATTGTGATTTTCCTTAGATACTGTAGGCCTTGGGTGGTATCCACAGAAGTAGGAACAATAGATGACCTTCTATAAAGAGTCTTGAATTCTCTTTCTCTACAGAGGATCTTAACATATTTTTCTCAATTTTCAACCATACAGAAGGAAGGGTCCGTGTTTTAGCAGAATACTAATCACCTTTCATTGATTACTGTCCTTCTAAGAAATGGAATGGTGGATGCAAGTGTAACTGAGGGCCAATAAATACATTATTTTATGTAGTTGCATTACTTGTCAACCCTTATCCCAAAGTTTAAGGACTCTGTTTCAGTTGTAAGTGGGTTTTGTCCAAGAAATAAATAATCTAAGTGTCTTTTGAGCACATGTACTTTAGAGCAGTTCACTACCTTCAACTTACTCTCTCTGCTGTTACAAATACTTCCATTACAAATAAGTGCAAAGGGAAAGCTGCCTGTTTCTCTAACTCCAGGTAGCAAATTCAGTCATGCTCACAAAAGCAAACAAACACACAGTTCTTAGTTTTTGCTGCTTATATCTTTCTGTTGGAGGCGAGGCATCCTTTCACTTCCCACACCAGAGAGGCCTGCAAGTTCCTGCAATTGCACTGCTGTATGTGCTACAGGGCTTTTATTCCATTTGGTTACTAGCAAGCATTTTATCTTCAGTAGCTCAATGTCAACCAGGTTGCATTAGGACCTGGTATTCAGTGTTCAGGAGCAGGTCCCCACAGTTAATTTGCATGCTAAGCTTATAAAATAAAAGTTTCTTTCAGAGACACTCTGCCTAGTGCTGAGGTACCAGCTCTATTCTTTCTAATAATACACTTGTTCTTCCTTGAAGAGCAGACAATGTGACTAAGAACCAATTTGCATAACTCTTTATGGGGCTAAATTTTCAATCTGGGCAAAAGAGGACTTGGACTTTTTATCTGCCCAAATTGAAAATGCTCTCATTTGGCAGGGATCTAGCTATTTATTTTTCTTCTATTTGTATCTATCTGTGCCTGCCTGCCTGCCTGCCTGCCTGCCTGCCTGCCTGCCTGCCTGCCTGCCTGCCTG